TTTACTCGAGTGTCTGCCAACTTCTCCCACTTCTTTTCTCCTTCTTCTCTTCCTTCCTATTTTCGACCAACATTCAGCCTGGCTGAATCTCAAATTTACCAACCACCCCCGTCACGTCAGATTTCAACCCCGGTATCTTGCGTGCGCCCTCTACTTTTCCTGTCAGTCAGCTCAACGTGCGTACCTGAGTACCGGGTCCGCCGTCGCATTATCAAAGCCCAGCCCAGCCAGGCCCAGCCAGGCCCTTAGCAGAGACAGCCCAGGCAGAGCAGACTTCTAGGAACTCAGAAGCAGACGACAGTATCCGCTCTACAGTTTTGTACCGTACCGAACCGTACCTTACTGAACCTAATCGCACCCGCGGGAGACCCTCCAGCCCAGCCCAGCCCAGCCGCCCACTCAACCACGGCCCAGTCCCCGTCCGTCCTTGCGACTCCCATTCTTTCTCCCCATCCCCGTACTGAAAGCGGATCAACCCTTTTTGTGGCATCGCTCCCGTGTCTTCGCATTGCCTTCTCCTGGGTCCCCGTCTTTCGACGGATCTACCAATTCCTTTCTCAACGCCTCGATTTGCGCTCTTTTTGGGCCTCACTTTTTCCAGGCCGTCCCGTGGTTTACTTGTATCAACCTTTTCGCTGGTCCCGGCCTTTGGAATCTCGTGACGTGCCACTCGCCCCATCGTCACCTTATTCGCCCACGACCTCCTCTTCCCCCCCGTCGGCTTTGTTCTCGCTCTTGTCCACATTCGCAGCGCGAAACCACACCACCAAATAATTATATTTTCCCCTCGCCGATGCCTTGACGGTTCCTATCGCCTCGACCCTCTACGGTTCCACAGCGGAAAACTCAATAGTCACACTTTTGATCTATATTCCCTTGTCGTTTTTGGTGTCCGTCACGATCACTATCGCACCGTGCACCCAGTCCTGTCTCGTCGCGACACGCGAAATACCTATTACAGACATCCTCAGCCTCTCCGAGTATCCGACAATCGTCTTGCGCGCACCCATTCGCGTCGTCTGGCAATCCCACTTCATTCCCATCGTTTGACGTATGCGATAGTATATCAACGCGATCGTCGATATCCACGCCGTGGATAATCGACCCGACTACTTGATCATGATGGCAACAAGTATGGGCCCAAATTTCTCTGGGCATCCTGCTGGCATGGGGCATCCAGGTGTCGCCGGCCACCCCATGGGACCTGGTGGCATGCCTCACAACCCGGGTCAGCAAGGTGCTCCTGGTGGAATGCCTCATCAATTCGGGGGACCTATGGTCTCTGCTCCCGGAGCACAAGTAAACCCTGCCCTCATGGGCGGTATGCCACCGGGTGCGAACCCAAATGCTCATGCTTTGCAGCACCTCAATCCCACCGCGCAGCAGCAAATGCTTCAACAACAGCTCCAGCAACAACATTGTATGTGATACCCTACTGGCACTGTCCTTGACATCCCTGTCCCTGCGCAAGCGCTAATTGGCTCATTCACAGTTGGTAATCCGCAAGCGATGGCTGCGATGCGACAGCAGCATCATCTGCTTCAGCAACAACAAGCGCGACAACTCATGGCTCAACAAGCTTTCGTTCAAGGTAACGGTATGCCCGTGGGCATGGCTCAGTTTAGCCAGCTCAACCCTCAGCAGCTCCATCAACTCAGAAGAGGCTTGGCTCCGGTAAGCCAATTGATAACCAAGCTGTCATTCGCGTCTTTTCAGCTAACAAATCAGGGACAGCATCCACAAGCCCAAGCGATTATGGCCCAGCAGCTTGCTCTGCAACAACATCAACAGCAACAGCAACAACAACAGCAACAGCAACAGCAACAACAGGTTGCTCATGCTCAGCAAATGCAAGCTGGGCCTAATCCAGGCCAACCGATGCAGATGAACGCTCAGAGCATACAAGCTATGCAGCAAAATCAGCTCGCTCTTCAAAATCAGATGGCCAACCAACAGGGTCAACAACCCCAGGGACAACCTCAGCCTCAACCCCAACCACAACAGCAGCAACAGCAGCCTGGCCAGCAACAGCCTCAGCACACCCCTCAGCAATCATCACAGGCTGGTACACCCGCTCCCACTGGGCCTCAAACACCAGCTCAGACGCCCAGTTCAACTCCTGCTCAGCCTTCTCAACTTCCACCTGGACAGAGCCAACCCCAGGTGCCACAAACTCCTGCTCAACCACAAGCTCAACCGCAGCCTCAGCCCCAGGCACAGTCACAATCGCAGCCACAAGCCCAGCCTCAACAGCATCAGATGAGCGCCACGACCGCGCAGCAACTTGCAATTCAAAGCCAAATTCTCCAGCAGCAGCGACGAGATAGCATGAAGGGCCAGTGCTTACTAAAGCTGATGCAATTCAGCGAACACTTGAGTGGCTTTCCTGTAAGATATATCGTGACGGATTCCTCAACGACAAGCTAACAAGAGATCTCTAGGGCTCAAAGGGCCGAGATGACCTTTCCTACTGGCACGGCTTTGTGATGCGCTTCTTCTCACCAAATGGCGTCTTTCGTCATTCATTACATATCACCGACGCCGAGGATACGACCGATAAGCAATATGAAATCGCTTATCCTGCTATTGCTCGATACTTCCACACGCATTTTGGCAGCGGCGTGAAGAATATGCAGTTGATCATGGATAAGGGTGTGACAGATCGGCCTCTTCCTGGCGATTGTCACTGTATCGAGAATTCGAAGGCTAGTTTCGTTTATTGGTTCGAGACTGGATCTCACGTAAGACATTCTGACTGGTCTGAGTAAGTGAGTTAGTCACTAACGTGGTGATAGTTGGTCGCTAGTGGTACGCTCCGAGCACAATTCGACGCTGAACAAAAGATCGAACTATTCGAGTTCCTCACCACGAGTCACGACGAATTCATATCACGAAAACAGGTCATTGATGCCGCGAAGCCCGCTCACATGTGGATGAAGGAATGGCACAAAACTAACTCACAGGATGGCAAATCACCCGAATTGTCTAAGAAGGGCAAGGGTCGACAGTTGAAGTCACCTCAAACCCAGCCACCAGAGGTCCTAGTTGACCTGCCGGATTCGGCTGTCAACAGCAAAGGTGTGACTGAAGCTGTCTTCCAGTTTCTTGAGGTAGGGACAGCTCACTCAACGTAAGTAAGAGTGACGCTAATGAATAATGTCCAGATTGTTGAAGTGATGGGACAGATGAACCCATTATTCCAATTTTACCATTCGAACCCCGGCCTAGGACCGTACCAAGCCCTCGATCAGTATGTGTCAACACAGATCAACGGAGTTCCCCCCAATATGAACGGTCAACAAATGCCCCCCGGGGCCCGTACGCCGAGCTTCGGGCAATTTCCCATGGGTGCAAGCCCAGCCGCGGCTCATATGAATCTCCCTGGATCACCACACATGGGCAGCCCAGCGCCCGGACACATGCAAGCCCCCGGAATGCAGATGCAGCAAAGCCAGCAGGGCACTGGCTCCAGCGGTCCCAGTGCAAACACATCCCCCGCCTCGAACAAGCGCCGACGGCCATCAGCAGTGAAAGAGGAGGATGGATCTGGAGCACCTACGCCTGCTGCCAATGGAATGCCACGTAATGCCAAACCGCCTACACCAAGGATGCCAAAGCGTCTCAAGGGAAACCCGCCAGCCCAGTAAGGGATGGGCTGCTTGATTATCTCGCACATCCAGATATTTGAGTATTATTCAGCATTACTTTGCATGGCGGCGTCGGTTCGTGTTTGTGTTTGCCATAGGCCTGTCTGGGAAAGATATTTTGGTGTGACGGAATGAAGGTATTTTGAAAGACGTGTATTTCCACACACATATAATCTTGACTGTATCTGTCAATGCATAACGGATGCTCTTGGGAGGCCCCTTCTTGGAGCACACCTTTTCACTGTCCAGTCATCTTTATTTGGGCAGTGAATTGGAGACACGGATGACGAGACCAACGCATGTCGGAACATGCACATAATGATAGTAAACGACATCGTCATGGGTCTGTTTCTCGAGCATCAAAGCCCACCAATAGAGGGGAATGGGGGATGAGGGGATTAATTTGGGTACCGTGGTTGAAGTTACCTACTCTTGTATGACTACAGAGGCCTGGGGCACAGGCTGGCGTCTAAAGTCTTGACTACCCTTACTTGTTTTTGTCATCTGCATTGCCTTTGTCTTGTTTATTTATCTGAAAAGGACGCTCAGCAAGTAACTAGATGTATATGGTTGGGGGAGTTCGGAGACACTGGTGGATTGGTCGAGCATGCTGTTGCCATCAATGGTCGTGTTAATTTAAGAGCTAAAGACCCAAATCACCGGGGAAAGGAGCTGTGGTTGTGCCGTGTTGCGTTGCGTTGCGTTGCGTTGACTTGTGAGCAGTCTGATGGCGCGAGGATGGATCATGAGTTTATTCAGATTATACCTAGGCTAAATATGGAGTTTGGTCTTTACGATGTTAATTCGAATTATCTGTCTGTCCAAGTCTTTGCTTTATCTTAGTGTTGACGGTTGGTCTATGGTGCTTGACAAGTGTCTAATAAAGCAACATTTGGGGCAGAGGTTCACTGTGCCATAGAGTACAACCCAAAACCCGATATTGCACGAAACAGGAGTGAGTCAGAGTAATTCGACATGAACCAATGTTTCCAGGTATTCACTACCGAGAAATAGTGTCCATTATCGGGTATTCTGTTGAATTCTTGTGCCGCTTGTGATGAGACAGCATTAGACGAGGCAACTAGCAATTCCATGAGCATATGAGATGATGATGTTATCGATACATTTTAATGCGAGAATGAATAGCATGTGAGTTCCCTTTCCTGGAATATTCTTGCTTTTATTGCATACATCAAGTTCCAACAAATGTCCCTCCCTTTGTCCCTAAACTGCACCTCGCCGGTCGTCCAGCTTCATCGCAATGTTTGTTGGTGTCACTGTCCTTATACTCAATCAGTACTCAATTTGCTTGGCCGGAGATAGAGCTGAATGAACGTACTGGAGTATGTGCTCTCACGCATTGTTTTTGAACCACCAGCCAGAGGTCTTCTTGGCCTGGAGGTGCTCACCACGAACGGAGATGTAGCACTTGAGCGCTCCTCTAGACGAAGCCATCATCTCCTTGAGAAGAAACCACTCAAGCTCAGAGCGAGCCATGATGTCTGTCTTGGTGACGAGACCGCGATAATGCCACTCCTTGTCGCTAGGTCCAAGTGGGTAAATCTTGCCGCCATAGGTCCAGTACAGCGTAGCAGAGATGAGCTTGGGACGGCGGACTTGGCGACTGAGACGATTCTTGCTGGATCCCTCGACGACAGGGAGCTTTTCCCGCAGGAGGTTGAGAAGATGAACCCTGGAGGTATTGAGAGGAATGTTCAGAGGGGCCGGGAGAGGATCCCACGAGCCGGTGAGAGTGCTGTCATGGCAAGGATCATGAACAATGAGATCAAACTCGAGCTGCGAAACTGGTGGGAGAGGCGTAAGAGGCTTTGCATCACCATCACCGGGGGGTTTGTCGGTTGAGCTGCTCAGAGCCGAAGGGAAGCTTTTGGCCTTGAGTGGATGATGCGCAAAGGGCTCTTGGGCAGTGATGAACAAGTCCATTGTACTTGGTAACTCTGAGGTCCAGAGTTTGAAGGACGCAGTGAGATGAGGCTAAGATAACGATGATGAGAAGGCTGAGGAAGCGGAGGTGGTGTGTGCGTGCAATTCAGGCCACTTGAGATGTTATTGAAGTGAGGGATCGTGTTTTAAATGCTGCGCCAGAGACTCGGCTCTTCTTCAGTGAGATAGGGGTTTTGCTTCTGATGAGTGCGCAGAAAAGAGCGAGTGTTGGCGTGAATCTGAGCTGGCCAGGGGCTGACAGTGACAACTTGGCTGAGATGCTTCCGAACAACACATGATCACAGTCACAGTCACAGTTTGAGGGATCCATTTGCGTTACAGGCTTCAGGTGCTATCAATGTATTCAGAAGAAACTAGAATGAGGAGGTCGATCTAATGCTTCATATCTGTTCACTGCTTGACCGTTTGCAAATCCCCTTATTCCTCCGTGTCATCAGGCTCCACGCTTGCAACTTTAGGCATTTTAGGTGCTGGCTCAGGATCAGTTGCCGCAGGGGTAGTATCGGTTTCTGGTTTAGCTGACTCAGGCACGGCGGTATTATCTCCTGTGTTCGAAGGTTCAGGCGCATCGGTGTTGATGACATCCGTTAAAGAGGTTGATGATGGTGAAGGCTGACGAGCGACAGGAGGAGCAGGCGGAGTATTGTCAGTCGAGTTATTCTGGTTGCTGTCAGCGGTGTCATTTGAGTTTCCGCTCGGGGGAGTACTCTGATCGTTATCGGTTTGTTGGGCCATAATCTTAATAGGCACATAACCATGCTAGAGAAGTCTATTAGCTATCTCCTTCTCCTCAACCACTTCCCTCTAGCCGATGCACTTACATCGACCAAGATAAAGGCTCCGTAGTTATTTGCTACTGTGTCCACCATCAACGTATGGAACTCTGGGGTTGTCATATCGCCAAATGACACCTTCTTCACAAGATCTGACGGTGAAACAGGTCCATCTATTGGGTTGATAGTGAGAATTGAGCGGTAGCTTCTGGTGAGATAGAGTGTGCAACGCCGGGTGTAAGCATTTCCTAATCCATGCTGTTCAGACCACCAGGTTAAGTTTCCTAGCACTGTTGCTCGAGCTGGAGGATGGTTGTAGCAGGCATCGTTCGAGGCCAGAACAGTTCCTGCACGGTGGTAGATGACCTTGATCCTGATGGGTGGAGAAAAGACAGGCCGATACAGTGGAAGTAGCTGAACAGGTGTTATGGTGAATTGTGGTAGAACAATCGGTGTCGTGGGTACATTCATGTAAACTGTTGGGAGGATGTAGTTCCCGAAGATGCGGAGTTGAAATAGGAAAGCCATAGTTGTCGAGCTTTGGGGTAATGGGGAGAGTTGACAGACAGACAAGGCATCGTGGTTTCTGGTAGAATTTACTACTTTAAATATATGAAATGGTACGACTACCTATGGGACGTTTAGTCACGGTGGTCAAGTTGGGTTCGTGATGATATGCTTGGTGTTGATGGCTAGTGCTTGGTGTCACTCACTACCTACACTGTTCAGCCTCTGTGAATACATCTCGTTCAGCCAAGTCCAGCTTGTGATTGAATGCATTGACAAGGCTGGCCGCTTTTGTCTTGAATTTCTTTTTAGTGGCCTATAGGTATGGGTAGATATTTTATTTCATGTATCATCCCCAAGAGTACCTAGGTGAGTTATTGAGATGATTGCGTTTGACAGGTAAGGTAGATGAAGTACTCGGGACTTGAATCCATCAGCAGCCAATGGTAAGACATGATAGCAAGCATCTTAAATATGCATAGGTAGTATGTAGATATGTATATCAACTTCCTAGGCAATGGTCATCCATCTTTGAACTGGCACCGCTTTATAAGTGGATATGTACTACCTACCTTAGGTACCTTACCTATTGTCAGGTAGGTATGATAAAGGGACTCTTCAGATGACAAAAGCATACTCGTTTATTGGAAAGTGCCACCATTCGCGCCTGCTCTGTATATCAGACCAGCTCCTGCCGACATCGAAATTGATAGCTTCTCCCTTGGAAGAATTGCATGTCCAATGTTAAATTCCTCACCCTCCAACCCAACTCAGTCCAATCGACCACTCTCTCTACTCTCCCTTGTTGTTTAATAACCATTGGCCTAGCGCAAATCGCTCCGATTGTCAGATCTAGATTCGGCAATTGCATGACGGCAGAGACAGATCCTAGTTGGCAATTGCCTCTGACGTATCATATCACACTAAGATCGACGGGCCTTGGTGCGATGCCTTTCCTTGGCTTGGCCTTGTCTTCACCAAGCAAGTCAAGTCCCCCGCGCCCCGATAAGCTCTATCCATCGCTTGCTGTATCCGCCAATTTGAGCAGCGTTAGAGCTGTTGTTACTGTTCCATTGCTGTGGAGCGGATTGAGGATAATGACATAACTAGACGCCAACACTGGCTCAAATGTCACGAATGCGCTCTTGACAAGATGCCTCGGCAATTACAATGCCGTGGACTAGTCAACGGGGGTGAATGGACAAAAGGGCCCTCCCTCCTCCTCCCTGCAGCTTTGTTGTTGCAACTGGGCTCTATCCCTACCTACAGTAGGTAGGTACAGAAAAGAAAAACTCAACCGAAGCGGTGACAATCAACACCCTCTTCACCGTCAGACACCACTGGACTCGGTAGGTAGCCAGGTGATATTAAAAGTTACTAACCCTCCACACCATCGGACTTCCACAACAGGAGCGCCACGTCCTCAACGTCCAGTCTTTAGTCCAGGATCAGCCTCTGGACGACGCTACCACTACAGCGTGCATTGCACCGGTCCTTCTGTTCCGCGTAACCCGCCTCCTCGACAAACCCTCAGCTTGCCGTGCAGTGCAGAAATGCCCTGATACGGACATCGAAGACTCGGTGGCGTGGGGATCGTATTTTGCTTCTTGCAACACTTTCGTGGTATTCGACATTGATTTCGACTCGGTCTTTTGGCTTTGGCAAACCGAGACGAGACCCTTGCTACAAAACCTCGAGATCCATCCGACATTTCGACCTGGTGGTCAATCGTGTGCACCACTCACCACTCACCAACCATCTAACCTCTTACCTCTGATCACGTCAGTAGCCATGATACAATGAAGGGGGGCGGGCTGCTTATTCCACCATGGTTCGAATACCACGAGCCAAGTTGCTCTGACTGGGCCATTGTCAGCATCGCCTTTGGCATGACTCTGTGTCTGGCAATTTTTGGTCTCATTCGCGTGGGCATTCAAACTTATCATCAATGGAAGCGCGCACAGAGAATTACAACGTATATGGTCTTGATATGGCTTGAATTGGTTTCCAGTGCTATTATTGGAGGTCTCGGCTGGGGTTATGTTCGAGGGACTATTCGCCCAGGGTGAGTCTTTGGTTGCTCAATCTCTATTTTCAATGATATCAATTTCGACGATTAACCATATCACTTCAAGGTTCTTAATATATTTCTTCATCTGTATGTTCGCTGGCTCAAATTTTCAGTCCTGGGCTAATCACTACAGTGCTCCTTTGGGTATTTCAAATCCATTGCATTATGCAAATCATTGTCAACCGAATAGCCCTCCTCCATGTTTCACCGACCATCGTTCGACGACTAAAATGGGGAATATTTATTATTCTGGCACTTATTAACGTTTCAGTCTTTTGTATTTGGATACCGGCTCGACTGCAAATCAGCCAGACTTATATCGACATCAACAACATTTGGGACCGAATCGAGAAAGGGATTTTTGCGGTTATTGACCTAGCTCTGAATTTCTACTTTGTCTATCTTGTCCGCTCGTCCCTCATATCGTACGGCCTAACCAAGTATGTGGTGTTGTATCGCTTCAACCTGGTGATGGTCATCGTCTCCATCTCGATGGACGTAAGTGTTCACTATTCAACACTTTTTATCCCGACTGACACTTGAATAGATTCTGATCATTGGGTCAATGTCACTACGGAATACATTTCTGTATGTTGAAACGCCCGTGTATTACCCATCAGCTAATGGTCGTGCTAGATACGTCGAGTTTCACCCGCTTGCATATCTCGTCAAGCTTCATATCGAATTGTCGATGGCCGAGCTCATTGCCAAGATCGTCAAAGCCTCCGGGCCAAACCTCGCTCCTTGTCGCTGCACTTGCCATGACAATCCAAACCATACATTCCTCCATCAACTACAATCTCGGCATAGTGCACCTGCAGTTCCCAGTGTGACTGCACCAACTACTGGAAGATTCCGTCGCTCTTGGCCGATGTCCAAAGCCACACGCAACAGGGAGAAGCGCCGCGGAGGAACCCGATCACAAACTCCGTCTTTGACCAAGAACATAGTTTCAAAGAAGCGGCAAAGTACCGAAGAAAATCAGCCGAAACAGGAAGTCTGGAAATCTGACACCAATACCGGTACAGACTGCGCCTCGCACAACTTGCCGAGTTCTACAGGACAATCGAACGAAAGTTCACACGATCATAATGACTGAAGCCATGACGGAGAATCACGTAAGCGAGCATCTTCCCCATGCCTCTGAACGTTCTGCCCTACGAGGCCAAATCAGGTGGTCATGGTAGGTTTGGAACGAACACGGCGCACTATGACTCCAGAGGGTTCAGAAGATATCAATACGAATGACTCAGGAAAGACTGAAGGATATGAAAGGCCCTTTCTATGGACGCTGTCTAAGAGGTCGATTTGACTTCGATGAGTCTCCAACACTTTGTTTCGGTACCAAAAGCGACCCCTGCTCTTCTTCTCCGCGGTCTCCACCTCGGTAAGCCTGATGAGATAGTGCTGGGGATGTCGAGGGGCTGCTCTCTGATGCCATAATCCGCACAGGAGCCTACCAGACTTGTGCGATGGTCGGATGTTGAACAATCGTTTAGCAATTATCAGTTGGGGAGATGATGTTGATCCATGATCTCAGTATGTCCAGTCCCTCCCAATCGTTCTCGCGATTTATTGTACTAGTAGACCATTGTCTCACACATGAGTTAAGGGAACCCGAAATCTTTAATACCACGAGGGCAGAAAGGCATCCTAGTCATTACGTGGGACACAATAACATCCTAAACAGGGGATCACAAAACCTGGCATCTATGCCAAGCATTGCCACAATAGTTTAAATTTGTCCTCAACTACCCGTATCGCCAAACTTCAGTTCAATAAATTGATAATGGCTCTCATGTCGAGCCATTATGATTATGATTTGTCTTGTTCATGTGCTTCGATCTCACTTTTATAGAGACGCTAATCATTATCCAGCCTGATCCGCCATCAGACAACTAGCAAAAAACGCCGTGAATCCTGTACAGAGCCGTACCGAAGCCTTACCATTGTGTCTTTCGTGACACTATGCCGTGTATGTTTTGTTCCCATACCCTAAGTTCCTGCGGATATCGTACGAGCTCTCCTCTTCATAGCAAGTAGTCATAGAATGCTCCTCAAAAATGCGTTGCCGTGTCATCGTACCCCCAAATCTGTTCCATATGCACGCTCATTTTAAATCGTAACAATCATCCATCGGGCGCATGTTCGCCGTATACTCAAGTACAGGTCGTAGGACCCTTGTGAAACTTGACAATGTTGTATATGGTATTACATGACACCAGGGGCTGGGTTCTCGTGCTTAGCGGTGCTGCCCTTGCCTCTCCAGGTGCTGACAGCAGGAATGTTGGCCTCATAGCGAACTTCCTCGGTACCGTAGGCTCCTGGGGTAAGTTTGATCAAGGTGTGTAAGGGCACATTCATCCAAGGGCTCTTAGACTGATCCTTCTTCATGAAGTATGCATATATACATCGTAGCACAGCTTGGTGGGTGACGATAAGGATATCTTCACTTCGCTCCAATTCCATGATGATGGGCTCAAGGCGGATAACAACATCGCGGTACGACTCTCCGCCACGATATCGATAGTTGTACTTGTCTTCATCACGAGCGGCGAAGTCCTCGGGATATCGGTCCTTGATCTCCTGGTAGGTCAATCCGTCGCATACTCCTGAGTCGAGCTCATCAAGCGCCTTCCACTGGAGTTGATTGTAGTGCTGGGGAAGGAAACGAGAAGTAGCAATGGTGCGTCGCAAAGTTGAGGTCCACACTGTTAGTGGTCGATCGTCCTACCAAGTGTTAGCCACATAAAAAATGTTAGGGTGCGACTGGACTTACACCAACTGATTTTCGGACGAGCTCAGGAAGTTTTCTGGCATATTGTTCACCACGAGGAGAGAGGAGTGTATCACCGCCAATTCTTCCGTCAATGTTATACAAGGACTCGCCATGCTATAAAGATTGTTAGTGACTGATTTGAGCGTATAACGGAATCGCTCTTACTCTTGATAGCCAAACTGAACGAGGGCGAATGTGTAGATTCATGAGATAGTACACGATGCGACTTTGGAGATAATCTCGGATACGGCTGATGATGACTTGCTTACCGACATCCATGATCTTGAGGTAAGTTAGGTGAGACTCTTTACCATCAGCGTCAATGGTGCAGTACACCTTCTCGTAGTTGCGAATGCGGTTACGGAAATCGAGGGCGGCAGTCTCAGGGTCCTGTCCGCGGTAGTCCGGGCTGGTAGTCTTGACGTCTCGGATATTGGCCATGATGAGCTCTTCGTCGTCGCACTTGCTCTCGACAAAGAGAACCTCGATACCGTTTTCGTTGCAGACCTCGAGAACCCACTTGCGGCGTTCCAGAGTGGAATTGGTAGCATCAAGAATACCAACAATGCCGCCAGATCGAAACCAAGCGAGCATGTCAGCAACAGCAGCCTCGGCGGCAGCACGACGAGTGCGTTCTCCTTCGGGATTGTTGATATCGAAAAAGTCGGCCGTGGGTTGTGGTGCATCATTGCGGCGGTAGTTGCCAACATTGAAAGTCTGTGCAGGGATGGAGAGCCACTGAAGATATCGCTGAGCTGAGAAGTTGGTCAGCTTTGATGGCGCATGATGCAGATCAAGGTGCAGATAGAAATAGAACATACCTCTTTGGGCAATATAACTCTTGCCTCGGGCTGGTAGGCCGACCATGACCACGCAGATCCTGGTATCTTCGGCCTGAACGCCGGCACCGTTAGTTCGAGAAGGCATCGTGGCTGACGATTTGCGACAAATGGGATGTAAGTTGGTTGGGCGGGAATGGGAATTGAAAGCGACTGCTACTGAGCAGAGCAATCAAGGTTCACAAATGAGAGCCAGGCACTGATAAAATCTGATGAAGCTCCAATACTGCAAAGGCATCAAACAAAGAAGGGGATGAGATTGGAATGACGATAATCTAATCGAAGACGAGTGATAGAATGTGGGAGTCAGAATGTTAGCGGTTGCTTGAGCCGAGGCAGACTCTGCAGAGGGGAGGGTGAGTGAGGAGAATGGAAAGAGCTGGGTGAGTTCTTTCCGACGACTGAATCCGAAGATAGCCAGCCAGTTGAGATCAGACGAGGAAGCCACGGGACGTAGATGAATGGTATGTTCCTTCCCAACGGAGTAGATCCACGTCGACGGGATGATACGCCAAATTGACCCCAATCGAGTGGTCTCAATGCAACTTTGCTCGATGCAGTAAATAGAGGCAGTCGAAGCTTTATCCGTCTGTATATGCAGCCCAAAGTTGAACTGGCCGAGAAGAGCAAGACTCAGATGAATTTGATGTGATCTGCAGTAAAGGCACCCGGGGCAAGGGAACCAAGACTTCGGGGAGAAGCTGTTTGAGGATGAGGTGGGGGATAGAGTGAGGGGTCGAAAAGAGGGCGAGCGGTCTATGTATGAAAGGAAAAGAAATTGAGAAGTATGGACAGCAGCTGTTTTAACTAGTTGCTCTGTAGAGTAGCAAACCGTGTCTGGGGTAAAGTAGCGTAGCGAATAGCCCCAGGGGACAGGAGGTCAATGAGGATAAGAGAGGTCAAGTGACAGAGGTCCAAGGTGAAGTAAGGTAAGGGTATGCAGGCTAGGGGAGGAAAGAAAACACAAAACCTTGACCTTAAGCGATAAAAATGTTTAGGTAAATTCAGCCTAAGTTTAGGGAATCTTTGATAAGTAGCACCCTAGATCAATCCGGTGTTTTCTTGCTCCCCGAGGGCAGGTAGCTAAGGCAAGGTAAGGTAAGGTAAGGTGAGGTAGCTCGGGATGAAGATGGAGTCGTGGTTTTGAGGCTAAGAGAGGGACCCAACCAGCTGAGTATCACACTTGATACGGTGCAGCTTATCGCTGCTATAGCAAGAAAAAATTACCTGTCCCTTAGTCCAGGCAACCGAGTTTGCTCCATCACAAACACGAAAGAAAGAAAGAAAAAATCATGTTGAGCATGCGGCTTGCATCGTCTTTCTCAAGGTCGTGGCTCCATCATGAATGACGATGGAATGGATACAGGCCAATGGGATTACGTCGTTGCCCCGCTAAAGCCCGCGGTTCTGATCCACTGTCGCGGGCCAAAACTCCCCCGCCGCCGCTCGGATGGACGCCGTGCGTGTCTGTAGAGGTCCCGGGACGGTCGAGAGGCCCTGTAAGGTGGCTCGGAGACGGTCCTGTAGGGGAGGACAGAAGGTCGGGTGCTCCAAGAACACCCCTGAAATCTGACTTCATCATGTCCCTTCCGGTCTCTTACCGGGGGAACCTCCACTCTGCAAAATTTCCATTTCCCTTTGCCGATTAGATGGTGGGGGAGGAAACCCGCAGACCTGCCAGAGTCCTGTAGAGTGCTGTACGTAGCCACTAGCTCAACCTTCGTTGCAGCTGTCTCATGGTGACCTGCCTCCGGATCCTCCCGGCATGGCCCCGGAGACAGCAACCAGATATCAGGCATTTAAGGGCAATTTTCGGCGTCAAAAGCTCAGAAAGATGGTGTTGAAGGTATGCAGTAGCCACTGAGAATATTGCCCCTGGTTGTGTGAATTTAGGCATTTCACCCCAGACACCGACAAGACGCCGAGCCCAGAACCGACCGAGTCAGTTCCAGTAAACAGGCATTGATACTGGCATTGGCGTGGATATCGATAGATCCAAATCTCATCACGCTTGCTCCGTGCTCTTACCCTTCCTTACCCAGGCCGTCAGCCTCAATTCACGGTCAACTGTAACTGCTCGCCTAGGTCCGTCTGTCTGGGCGCAACTACAGGACGGTACGGTATGCTGCAGGAACCGCCACCAGACGCCGCTCACGAGACCTATGCTGAGCTCCGGGTCTGTCCGGATTGGCACCACTGGTATCATGTCGTATCGTGTTGTTGCGATATCATGACTTGCAATTCCTTTTTGAAGGTCCCCAGGTGCCGTTTTCTGGGGTACGTTGTCGGCCGATGTTTGCATTTCCAACGCATGTTATATATGGGGTCATCCGTCTTCTGACCTATCTTCCATTCGATTTGACGTTGTGATATGATGCGAGATACACCTTGAACCTATTTCTCACTCGAGCTCCCAGACTTTCCCGACGTGGGGTCCCCTCACCCCAGGTTTAGTTGCTTTTTGCGGCTTTCTGTCGTGTT